GCTCGTCTTTAGAATGGTGACCAGTGCGGGTCGTAGGTTCGATTCCGGCTAAAGGCAGATATTTTTTGTCACCTGAAAATGGGTTTAAAAATGATTGGCAGTTAACAACAAATAATATTTTAAGTTATAAAACCTTATATAATAGTGTATATTAATAATATAGAATAATATACAATTACATATAATAACGATATATAATAATATATAATATAATATGTATGATAATATAATATATAATAATGTATTGTATAATAAAAATAATAAAAAATGTAATATATAATGTATAATAATAATATATAATAATAAATATTCAGAACGCCAAAAAAGATCAACAAAATGAATACGATGAGACGGAGTCAGACGACGACATACAAATAATAAACAGTACTGAAACTGAGGAGGACGCAGACGACTCGAATAACGAACACAAAATTGGTATTTTTTATTATTGTTGTTATTATATTTATTATTATATATAATTATTATGTATAATAATAATATAAATGTATATTATTAATATAGATAAGACAATCGAGCTGCTGTCGTCATCGGATGAGGAAGATGAGGATGAGTTGATGGAGGACGATTTGGTGGAGTTGGAGGAGGCGGTCATGGGCAATATCGATCGCAGCTTTAATGACTCCATTACCGAACAGCAGGTGGAGATTTTTTATTATTTTGTTATTATTTTTATTATTTATTATTATTATTTATTATTTTTATTATTATATTTTTATTATTATTTATTGTTATTATCGTTTTTATTGTATTTATATTGTATATTTTGATCCTGGTATGTCTTGTATATGTATCATTCTAATGGTGTTCGTATAGCGATAGTAGTGTGTTGGAGGTGATATATCGCGAGAAAAGTGGAGAGTTAGAGATAGAAAAGGTGCGGAGATAGTGTGCAAATTGAGGAGATCAGAGAATAGGTGAAAAGATAGAGAGAGCAGTTTTTAGAGGTCAAAAATTTGATNGGGAAATTTTAGTGGTATATAAAGGAGAGATGCGTTGATGGCAGTCATTGTTGCGTTTTGTAGTGGTGGTGAGTGGTCGGGTCTGAGTTGAGGTGTTAACGTGTTCAGATGGTTATTGCACGTTTTAGGAGAGATTTTTTCTGCGTTTTTCAATATTCGTTTGTTCGTAGTATGTATTGTTCAGAATTTTTTTCAGTTGTAGTATTAATAATAATATATATTTAATACTATATTATTAATAATATTGTTATTATCTAATATTATATAATAATAAATAATATAATAACAATTCAGGCTATAAGTTTAATAGAGTCTTTCAATTCACGTCGTCGATCAGCGTCATCAACACCGTCCAATTTAAACGAAACACCAAATAATGATAAATTAAATAATAATGGTGATAATATTAAATATACCAACAACAATAATAATGATGATAACCATTTCACTCCAAAACCGCAATCGCGCTCTGAATTATCGCTAACCGAAGCTACATTAGAGGATACGCCTTCAACCATTCGAGAGGTCAGATTTTATTATTTTTTATTTTGTATTNGCTAACCGAAGCTACATTAGAGGATACGCCTTCAACCATTCGAGAGGTCAGATTTTATTATTTTTTATTTTGTATTATTTATTATTATGTATATTGTATATTATTGTTATATATGTAATTAAATGATTTCAGAGAACCCTGGCGGCACTGGCAAATTATCGTGAAGAGGCGCGATTGAGGGCAAAACTGAAAAGCGATGAGGAGTTGGGTGGGTATTTTTTATTATTAGTTATTATAATATTTATTATATATTATTACATGTGTAATAATTATTATATATTATTATCTATAGTAATAGTTAGTATTATATGTCTTATCTAATAGCAGTTATGTGTTAGTTTACCGTTGTTGTATACGTCGGCAGTCATTGTTGCGTTTTGTAGTCGTGGTGAGCGGTCGGGTCTGAGTTGAAGTGTTGGGGTGTATTATTGTTACCATTGTTATTTATTAATATTATTAATGTATATATAATAAATAAAACAATACAGTAAATAACATAATATATAATAAATAATAATCATAATAAGTAATAAAATAAAAAATAAAATTAAGGTTTACACAGTAAAGTAACAGATCGCCATTCGGTACCACTGCAGAGTGAATCGTCTCCGGCGAAGAAGAATAAATTAAAATATCAATTATCTCTAAATGAACATTTAACTGGCAGACTGCCAAATTATATTAATAATAATATTAATAAATATAACGATAATAAATGTGATGAAAAAGTGGAAAAGGAGACGGAGACTCCATCGAATGCAAAGAGTAGCTCTAATCAACCAGGTATTTTATTATTTTTTGTTATTTATTATTATTTATTGTTATTATTTATTATTATTGTATATTAGTAATATATATATGTATAAATAATAATAAATAATAGGTCGAGGTCTACTATCGTGCCTATTCTCACCGGATAAGGAACGCCTCCAAAAGCGGTTGGCGGATCGAAAGAAACTGAAAAATTCTGATGGCGATTCACCTGAAACCATTACGTCTTCGGTTATTTTTCTCGTTATTTATTATTATTATTATTATAATAAATAATATAATAAGGAATATAATAAATAATATAATAAATAAATATAATAATAAATAATAATAAATAATAAATATTCAGATGAACGAATTACAATCGGCCAACATTGAAAGCAATAAAGAGACTAATATTCTGGATAAGGCATCGAATATGAAGAAATTAAAAAACCGTAAATCGGCTCAAGCAAATGATGATATCGCATCCAAAGGTTATTACTTATTTATTTATTATATTGTTGTTATATTTATTATTATTATTATTATTATTATATTTATTATTATTGTATATGTATAATTATAATAATTATTAAGATGTCAACAGCGATGACTTAACGCAAAAAAAGCAGTCGATATCCCCAATCCGCACC